TGGAACGCTGGCACTGCAGGCAACAGCTTTACTCACTACACCACAACACGGACCCCTTGGACCCCTTCTCCCACTTCTCCATGCTCCCCCTCACTCCATTCTTCATTCTTGATTAGTTTCTCAATGTGCATTCTGTGAGGTAGTGGCTGATGGCTGAAGTACTTGGGTCCTTGCCACCCACACGAAGATTCAGATTGAGTTTGACCTGACCTAATCTAAGCTGTTAAGAGTGTTTGAGTAGTCAACCAGTAAATGAAAGATGGGTCAGTCTCTCCTTTTCAAAGAAATAAATTCTTAAACACCTAGGTTATTTACAAGAAAGAATATAGCAAGTAATTTGCTATAAATCTTGGAAGCTGGAAATTCTTTTGGTAGAGCAGGAAAAGTGGAAAATTGATTTTCATCACAGCTTTACAAAGATTGCATGGAATAGCTAAAATGTAGGTATTCAATTTGCATTTCCCAGGTGGCTCACTAGCACTAGTGAATTACTGTGAGCATGTATCCTTGTAAATTCCTAAAGCACAAATTTAACTTGATTGTTATTCAAATGCCCATGATTTTATAGTATATAGTATCAGCCTGAATACTGCTCCCAGAATGCTGCTTTCCCACTAATGTAGCACAGTTATTATGTTCTAGTTGTTTGAGACACCGATTGCTTTAAAATTATTGAAAGAGAATGATTGCCTATCGCATGCTTGCTGTGGTGGCCACTGATGGACTCAAGCCTTTACTATCAGTGTGCGAGCTGCTGGCACTATAGTGTGTGTCTCCTCCCCTCTCCCCCTTGTGCTTCAGCCAAGTGTTGTGATTGCTTTTGGATCTTGTTTCAGGTTTTCCTCCCTATGGGTGAATAAATGACAAGATTTAGTCAAGCATGCCTTCAAACAGAAACTTTATTCTTCCATTGATGCAGTAAACATACATTGAAAATAGCCTGTAAAATATTAGTGGTGACTGCTGCTGGCAGTACAAAGTGGAGGACACAGCCTCACATTTTGCTCAGAAACTAGGAATTAGAAAAATCATGCTGCTTGTAATTCTACAGTCACATCAACAAATCAGTCTTACATGTTACTGTGAGAACACAACAGTCATCCAGTTCTTAAACCAAATGCAAGTACCTATCATGGTGACCTTTAACTTGGAAAGGTCAAAGCCAGCTTTTATAAGCAAGCAACATTTACCATGTAAAGGGAAGAATCCCAGAGGCTAAAGGGCAGCGGAAAAGCCTTCCAAGCCAAAAGAGTAGTTTATACCAGGGGAAACAAAAGAAAGGTAGAGTATTAAGAAGACAGGAGTATAGAATAAGGTAGGCAGATCCTGTAGGCTGTGTTGGAAGCTTTGCTTTCCTTTCTAAGATCAGGAAGAAACCATTAAAATGTGTTTCAATCAATGCAAATGTCACTGGTTAGCTCAAGAGTTGGGGTGGCGATGGGCTGAGCTAGGTGTGACCATGGAACCTGCCAACAGTCGTGGGTACAGGGACCAAGAATTGTCTGGGCAGGTCCAAGCTGCAGCACCCACATGTGCATCCTAAACAGGATGTGGGGCAAGCCGCGCTGCAACATTCACCAGCTCAAACTAGACCAAGATGGAAGAGCAGGCTATGCCGGGCAAGGGCCTAACACCTGCTGGCATGCATGAGATCTGGGTCTGAGTTGGCCCAAGTGGAGGAACCTGGAAAACTCCCCTAGTGGGTCATAGCTCCTGGTGAGTACATAGTCTAGGCCTGGGAGTCGGCCCGGCTGGGCAAGGTAGCTCCAAATGTTGGCTAATGTGTGGGTTGGTTTTGGAAGGGAGCAAGTTGGGCAAGGCCAAGCAGACCTTAGCTCACCGACAAATGCAGAAACAAGGCTGGAGTGCAGGTTACTCCAGGCTAGGCTATCACATCTACCAGTTTGCATGAGCCAGTGATGGGAGCAGACTGAGTAGGGCCAGATTCCAGCACCTGCCAGTGAGAGTCGGAACTAGGGGCAGGATGGGTCAGGCCAGGATACAGCATCTAAGGCAAAGGCCAAGACAGGTGAGGGGCTATATACCAAGCTGAGTCAAAGTAATCACTGGCATGCGTGAGATCTGTGGATGGGAACAGTCCTGGTTGGAGTGGATCAAGGTTAGTCAGGAAAGGCAGCCACTGTTCCTGCTAGGAGAGGAAGTGGACTAAGTAGGGCTGGCCCATAGACTCATTGGTGTGTGTGAGATCTGGCATTGGGAGTGGTTCTGATGGGGGAACTTGGGAAACTCCTCTGTCAGGACACAATCCCTGCAGGTGAGCACAAGAACCATGATAGGAAGCAGCCCAGACCAGGACAGGGAACCGTACCCACTGGCGTACTTTTGGCACAGGTCGGGGGTGAACCAAAATGGGCCAGTTCATATTACCCACTGCTGAATCCAAGTGCCAGAATTGTGGGTCAGGCTGGGTTGGGTTGCAGCACAACCAATTACGTGAGGTCCAGGACTGGGGGCCAACTGGGCTGGGCTAGAATGTAGCCCCTACCAGTGTGAGTTGAAATTAGGGGTGGGCTAGGCCCAGCCATGCTGCAGCACCCTATGGTTAATGCCAAGGCAAGGAGACCATGCCAGACCAGGCCACCAACACCCAGCTAGCACATGTGAGACCTAGGCATAGAGGGGGCAAAGCTGGTAGGAGAAATGTGGAGGGCTCCCCTGCTGGACCACCACTCCCACTGGAGAGCGTGACTTGGGAGGGAAGCAGACTAGACAGAGCCACAATACCTATTGGCCTCATGTGAGCTGGATCAGGGAATAGCCAGGCTGGGTTGGCTCTTCCTCCTGGTACATGCATAAGTCAGAGTAAGGATGGGTTGGTTGGAATTTGCCACAGTATTAGCTGGCAGATGCTGGCACGGCGGGGGGGGGGGGGGGGGGACAAACTCTGTCAAGTTAAACTGAAGAAACATTTGAAGAGTGCAAAATCCAAGAGTGGGCCCAGTAGGGAAACATGAGTACCTCCTTCTTGGATTACCACTCTGACTGGTGAGCATGAGAACCAGGACTGGGAAAGGCATGGCCAGCTAGGGAGTGGCATCTGCCAGCATGTGTGTGAGCTGGAAGTGGGGCTGTTTGGGTTGAACTAAGCTTCAGTGCCCATTGACATTTATGAGAGCTGAATGGGATGTAGGACAGACTGGTCTAGTACTTATTGGCAAGCGTGGGAACCAGGGCATAGGGTGAGCCTAGTGGGGGTTATTGTGGTTCTCTCCAACTAGGCTGTAGCTCCCACTGGTTTGTGTGAAGGTCAAGTGCGTGGTGGGCAGTATCAGACTGGGCTGCAACACCCATTGGTTTGTGTAAAAAACAGGGCTGGAGACAGAACTGACCCAGCAACTGCAACCACCAGCATGTGCATAAGCTGATTAAGGGAATGGACTGTGCTAGACCCTGTATTGGCAGGCACACACAAGAACCAAGTCTGGGATCACCTCAGATGAAGTTTCTATGAGGATCCCCCACCCAATGAATTGCTGAACTCAGAACCCCAACCGTGGAGAGAACTGCAGGTTCCATGGTCTGATTGTGGGTCAGAGCTGGGCTCCCTCAGTGGCTTAGATGGAGCAGTGGATAGCCTATCCAGGTGTACATAGAGAATACGGCAGTACATGGGGCCTGCGGAGGACAGCTGGTACCATAATAGAGGGTGAAGAGCAGAACAAACCGATCAACTATCTAGCCAAATGTTGGCAGTAAATAATTGGAAAAACAGAGACTCTAAGATGGACTCTGTCAATCAGTGAATTCTGGAGAGATTTCATTGTGCGTGGAGTGGCGAGATTGACAGCAATTTGGAATTGTTGAACTATTGAAACCTCTTGAGCAGGACCCTCAGAGCATGTCCCACATCGGGGACCGTGGGGTGGTGTTAGGTGGCTGTCCTCCATCCTAGGTTGCAGCAGCGTTTGGGAGTCTGAATGTGGCTTCTCTCCTTGTCTTCTCCCCTTCCCCCAGATACAGGAAGGAAGAAAAGAGAATACGGAAATGGCAATCTCATTCACCTTCCTGTAGCCCTTGACCCTAATCACCCTAATCACCTATGTATAAGTCATCAAAAAGGAAAATTGAAGAAAATATATAAAATTTTTTTTTTTAAATAAGAGCTACCTTTTCCAAAGCTGTGAACCAGTTGTTAGAAGCAGATTAATGCTTATTCCTATGTACTGATTTCTAGGTAGAAAGTATTAGATTTTAAAATGTGTTTTCTTTAGAGCATCAGTTCTCTAATGTCATAGTGCTCAAGAATTACTGGCAAGACTGTTAAAATCACGTTTCTGGGCCCCTCTCCAGAGATGTAGAAGGTCTGGATGGTGCTCAGGAATGTGGATTTCTCGGGCCTGCATTGTGTTTAAGCCTTGCACGTAATGCCAGATTCTCAATCTGAGTGCTTGTTGGAATCCCAGCTGCCCTGCTTCTGCTCCTGTTCCTCCCAGTGAGCCTAGGAGACCAGAGGAAGATCGCCCAAGTACTTAGGACTCTTGCCACCCGTGGGGTACCCAGGAGGAAGTTTGAGGCTGCTGGCTTCTCTTGCTTCAGTCTTGGCAGTTGGGGTCGTTTGAGGAGAAAATCAGTAAATGGAAGATCTTTCTCTTCTGTCCATCTCTTTCACTCTGCATCTCAAATAGGTTTTTTTTTTTTTTTTTCAAAGGAAGAAGGATTTAGGTTTCCGGGATTTTCCCAGAATGTGCTGCTGCTGCTGCTGGTCCTATGTGTAGAGTAGATTCTGAGTAGCAGATGGAGCCACAGAATCAACACCTGTTTACACAGAAGCTACATTGAGGCTTCCTTGTCTATGTTCTGTGTAGGTGATGTGTGGCTTCGTTAGATGACACAGTAGTCAAACTGGGTACAGGAAACAGTGCCAGGAATCAAGATAATTAAAAACAGGATGGTTGATTAACAAGAGTGCCATTTGGAGGTTTTACAATTTGTTCACATTTGTGTATTACTGAATTCATTTTTGTTTTTGCTTTTTCTAGATCTAATTACTTGTTTGGACACTGCATCCCATTTTTTGGAACCTGAGTTCAGGTATGACCATATTTCTGCCTGCCCCTCTTTAGTTTAAACATTGTTTTTCAGCATTCTGTATCTACTTAAGATTATGTGTGTGATATACATTCATTCCATGATTTGAATAATTTACTTGATTTAGAATCATTTCATTATAATCATATTTAAATTTGACTTTAATTGTATCATGTAGATCTATTCTTTGAAGTATAGTTTTAATATGCTTAAGTATCTGCCAAAACTGCTAGCTATAAAAATGGAAAAACTCATTTATTTCCACAAAAAAAGGGAAATGGGCAGTGTAAGGCTATTCTGGAGGTTTTGGCTGTCCTTACCCCAGTCCCATTTCTGCTGCTTCCCTGTGTTGTGACTTGCGTCTTGCCTGGACTAGAATTAGCTTCTGGTTGCTTTCTTATTCAGTCATTCACTAGGAGTCCTTGGGCCATTTTCCCAGCCATGTCTCATCTGCTCCGTGTTGAAATGATTCTGGATTATTTACCCTGTTCTGAGCTCACAAAACATTCCTGGAAATCCATCTCAACGTTTTGGCAAAATCGTTTTCATTTTTCAAGACCAGTCTCACCAGCCTCCACCCAGCTTCTCCTCTCCCAAAAAAACCTTCAGTTTGTATCTTTCAGAATGGTCCTCCTGTGGCAAGTGTGCCGTCATTAGCATTTGATAGGGCCTCTGCTTGGCCATAGTAGCTCTCTCCACCCTCCCTCCAGAACTCCATTGCTACCCAAATCCAATCTGCCTAAGTCTCACAGCTTCCACTCAAAATCCCTTACCTTCTTTTGCTTTCCAGAAACCAGAATAACCATTGTTAAATATATAAATGCTACCAGAATCCCCACTGCCTTCCTGTTTTTACTTGGAGATACATCCCGGTCCATAAGACTGTGTCATCTAACCACTTGTGTATTCTTCCCGGCCCTGGTCCCTTTCTCACTGTGGCCTGGTTTGTGTGTTCACACAGCACGCCGAGGAGCAGCTGGGCGTGCCCTTCCTAGTGATTGCTGCACATACTGTGCTTAGTCAATGATGTCCCCTGGCACGCTATGTCTGAGTCCCACTCCCCGACTGAAGCATCCAGGGTCTGCCCTGCCTTACAAGAGCACAGGAGGCCCTCACTATGTGTCAGCCGCCTGCCCTGGCCACATGCTTCCTCAGTTTCCTTACCTGTACAATAAGGACAACCATAGTACCCATTCATGGGGGTCTTGACTGGCTTTCCTGAAGCCCTTGGGATGCCACCTGGCACATGGTTAAGTTTGTGAAATGTTGCTGTAACTTTTAATAGGTTCAGTCCTTTCCAGTTCAGCATGCCTTTTCTTCATAAAAGAACCAAAATTGAATTATTTATATAATATTGGTTTGCTGTCATCTTCCACCACTGGAATGTAAATTCAATGAGGGAACTGGGCCATGCTTGTTTGGTTGACCCAGTGTCCACATAGCCCAGCACATAGCAGACAACATAATAAACATTCAAGTACAGCTCCGTGCTCCACAGTAATGTTTCAGTCAATGCCAGACCACCGTAGGGTTCCCATGAGGTTCAAATGGAACTGGAAATTCTGTATCACCTAATGAACTCAGGGCTGCAAAAGCAGCAAGAGAAAAGGTCATTGCAGGAGAAGGGAAAAAGACAAGGTGGGTAGGCGGGGAAACTGCTAGAGAATTCACAGGGAAGAGCCTAGCAGAAGCGTCGGCAGACCTCCATAAGCTCCTGACAAAATTCCCCATGGAAGAGTTTTCCTTAGTGGAGAGAAGTGCAGTCTACTTTGAAGCAAATCTGTGATGAGAAGCCCATGACACAAACCAGCATGGACACGCTTCTGAGAAGAGTGACGCCTCCAGGAGAGCCCCAAGCAGCTCCTTGTAGTCACAGATGACCACTCCAGGCACACTGCTGCCCCTGCACTTCAGTGGGACAAGCTGTGCCAAGAAGATGGCAGTGACACGGGTGACTCCCATCTTGTGTTGGCCGAGGCTAATATGTGAGCTTGTGTCTTAGCTTCTAACAAAAGAAAACTTTTAGAAGTTAAAGAAATAGAAAAAGAAACTTATCGGGGAGACTGTAAATATTTTTTGTCGACCTGTATAATATGCTAGATGTTACCACACAGAGTAGTTGAAACGTTAAAACCATTTAAAAGCTTATAAGGTAAAAAAAAAAGTTACAGAAAGCTAAGGCTTATTTCTTAGTGAAGGAAAATATTTAAACAGATTCTGTATGGCTTACAAAGTCTGTATGCTTACGAAGTCTGCACAGTGTCCAATAATGCCATAAGCAAACTCTATTCCTGGGAAGTGCTCTTTGCAGGTGGACCTTTTAAAAAACCTTTTGTTCTGCGCATTTTTACTGCATTTTGTTCTGTGCATTTTTACCGCATCTTTTCTGTGTTCGAATTGTTTGGATACACAGAAAGTAACCATGGTGTTACAGTTGCCCACAGTAACAGCTCACTGGTTTGTAGCCAAGGAACACTGAGCTGTCCCACACAGTGCAGGTGTGCGGTCATGAGGCCTCTGAGTTCTTATAGTGCCCTGGGTGATGTTCACACGACAGTGCAGTTATCTAAAGGTTGTACCGTATCAAGTATAATGAAAAGGTCTTAAAGTAGAAATGTATCTACTGTCCAGTGTGAAGTAAATAAAGCAGTTTGTACAATACAAAAACAAAATAGTAACTATAATAGGTGAAAAAATTATAGCATGTATAATAATATCCTAATATCTCTTAGGTAGCTTCACACAAAGTAAACTTTAGGAATCGGTACATTTTACAAGAAGTGATCAAAAACAAGTACACATCACTCTTTACATGAATCCATTTGCACAATCCCATATGAAACCGAGTACCAGGGAGTGAGCACTTCAGCCTGGTGATCACAGTGCTGTGGTCCATAGTGCCGCGCCTGGTTTAGCTCCGCCTCAGCTCCTCACTCCAGCTTCCTCCTGTTGCAGACCCGGCGGTGGCAACTGCCATAGTTCACCATGCAGGACCTCAGATACCTTGGCCTTGTCTCTTGGGCATATGGAAAAGTATCTGAAAGGGCTTTTTAGAAATATTCTTTCTGGGTCATGATAGCATCATATTTGCATCAAAAGGAAGAATGCGTACGCACCTTCCTTAATGTTTCCCCCTAGAAAGCTAACCATATGTGTTTTCCTCTAGAAAGTGTACCATAATAATATCATTTCGCTTGTTTTCTTTTCACAGTAAGTACTGCCCGGCTGGCTGCCTGCTTCCTTTTGCTGAAATATCTGGAACAATCCCTCATGGATACAGAGATGTAAGTTGCACATAGATTTACAGTAACAATGGAAATTTAAAAAAAAACAACTAGATGTATATCTGTTACCTAATTTTACTTGTAGAAATCTTTTTCTGTGTAGCCATATGTAATGTTTTATTATTTTTTTCTTCCCCTTAAATTCTGTTGTTACAGCACCTGTGATTTATGCTTTCATGAAAAGTGCCCAAATCCACAGGTTTCTTGAGGAAGTACAAGAATCTGCATGAACTATGACAAGCTCATCTTCTGTTTTTTCCTTCCCCAGTCCTCGCCGCTGTGCATGGCAGGTGTGCATGCAGGAGTAGTGTCGAATGTCTTGGGTGGTCAGATCAGCGTCGTAATTAGCAAAGGCATCCCGTACTATGAAAGTTCTTTGGCTAATAACGTCACTTCTGTGGTGTAAGTATCCTTGGTAGTCCAGTGGGCATGCTGTATAGGTGGGTGCTAGGGACCAGTGAGAACTCACCGACATCACTGGCAATGGGACTCAGGGAGTAGCCTTTATGCAAGAAGCACTCAGTTGGGGTGTGTGTCCTCAGTATCTGAATGTTTTGAAAGGTACAGGCTGGACTGCAACTAATTGAACTATTTTGAGTTTTAAAGTAAACATTGATGCCAAGTGGACTGTTTGTATTATTATGCATCTGTCCTTCTGAAAGAATGTTTGAAGGAGGTGTTATCTATCACAGTATCTACACTGTTATGCTGCTTTACCGGACGTCAAAACAGAAGTTGAAACATTAACTAGTAATGCAGTAGAACACTAGTGGAATGTTTGGAAACTTCGCCTCTTCTGTTCATTTGGTCTGCTGAACAGTTGAACCTCAGTGAAATAGGCTTTTCCTTAGAGGCCCTCAGCCAGTTTTCGTTGAGACGATGAGCAAGAGTCAGCAAACACTAACGGTGAAAATCTGCCGAGGAAATGCTTTAGATTTCGTGCCTGTGTGGCCACATCACTTCCTCCGCTGTTGCCTTTAGAACTCCTTAACCGTGTTAAAGTCATTAACTCACCGAATGTACAAGTGACCTTGCGCGTGGACTGCGGTTTGTCCACCCCGACAGACCCAGCTAGCTCCCTTCATTGTGCTGCTTCTGTGTGCTGTCATGCTGATTTTTTTTCATTCCTTTGCCCCTTTTCAACTTTAAAAGGAATTTGTGCGTTTAAATTCTCTTTCACACTTACAGAAGTAAGGATAGGATGCACCCTCTTGTAGCTGTTTGAGTGCTCTGTGGAGGCAGAGGAATGCTAAGAGTTAAAGGCTAAAGGGAATCCTCTGGTCCCCCATCTGGTAAACCCTTCGCTTGCCTCATTTGTCCACTCTCCTTAGCTCCTGCAGTGTGCATTGCTTGGCAATCCAAATGCAGTGCTACACTCTAACATTAAAAGTTGTTCTCATGAGCCTTTCTGCTAGGAATAAGACCAATGCCTAGTTTTCAGCTACAGAGTCACCCTGGGGCTTGAAGCAGCAGAGAAGAAAAGCACAACTTTGACTTACTGGTGTCGATCATTACGTCATTTGTTGCATGTCACCAAAGAAGCCTTCTCTCTCTTTCAGGGGACACTTGTCTACAAGTCTTTTTACATTTAAGACAAGTGGTAAGTTTTCTGTGAACTTTATAACGTGTTGTGGTTTGTGAAGTTGGTCATTTTCCACACTGTGGCAGCTGATGTTTGTACTTTTTCATTTACACATCCTGATGGTACCGTGAGGTGATGCCTGTTAAAGTAATAGAGGCTGGGATTACGGCGCAGAGGTTTTAGCTGCTGTTTGTGTCAGCATCTCATGGAACAGTTTGAGTCTCGTCTGCTTTGGTTCTGTCGTGCTCCCTGCTTATGTGCCTGGGGAGGCATAGAACATGCCCCAAGGACTTAGGCCCCTGACACCTGGGTGACAGACCAAGGTAGCAATCTGGGCTCCTGGCTTGCGCCTGGACAGTCCTGGCCATTACATTCATTTTGAGGGTGAAAGTACTTCTTTGTCTCTCTCTCTCTGCTCCTGATTCTGCCTTAAAGGCAATAGAATAAATTGGAAGTTTTATGATGACAGACAGACATGTAAGCAGGCAGGCTCCTTGGCAGAGGTGGTTTCTGAAGAAGTAACTGACTGTACAGAGAGGTTTGTTGCATGCCCTTCGTTAGTTACTGCTCACTGTAGCGGTGCTTGTGACTGGATGGTGACGGGCATAACACCTGCCTTGCTGGAACTTCCTCCTGTAGTGAGGACAGTGAGTGAACAAGCTGTTGTCTGTGGTATACTGTTTGCTGTATGATCAAATGCTCAGAGATGTAGAGAAATAGGCAAGAAGGAAGACAGGACCTACAGGAGGACCAGTACCTGGTTTAAGCAGGATCAGGAAAAGCCTCGTAGAGAAAGTGACAGCAAAATGCTGAAAGAGATAAAGGCGTAACATCTGTGGCCTCTCCCTCTACCATTTATCCGGAGGGCGTATCCCAGGGAGATCACATAGTTCAAGTTCTTGCTAATTGGTGAGTGTTCATGGCTTTCCTAGTTGACGCACAAAAGCTCATGTTCCAAAAACCCCGGCCTGGGTCTTAAACTTCTGTTACAGTGTATTATTATTATTAACATAGTATATGTTAATTAAAGGTATGCTAGAAACTTGGCAGTGAGCAGGTCCATACAGATTTTGATTTTCTATCTGGGAACCGAGTTGACCTTCTCTTTCGTTTCAGGTTGTTATGGGACACTGGGGATGGAGTCCGGTGTGATTGCTGATTCTCAGATCACAGCCTCCTCGGTGCTGGAGTGGACTGACCACACCGGGCAAGAGAACAGCTGGAGACCGGAGAAGGCCAGACTGAAGAAACCCGGGCCGCCTTGGGCTGCTTTGGTCACTGACGAGTATCAGTGGCTGCAAGTAGATCTGAATAAGGAAAAGAAGATAACAGGTTAAGAAGCAGGATTTCCTAGAACATTTTACAATGTTCCTATCGTTTACAAACCTGTTGCTGTCTAAGATTTCCATGGAAAATTAGCTTGCTAAAAATTCAGTTCCATGGTTTCCAGTTTTATTGCTTGGTATTAACATTACCAGAGAAAGTTTTATAAGGCATGGCAGAAGAGAGGAGTTGATATTTAATCCTTAATAATTTTTCATTTTTATTCTTTCAAGGGAGTGTTTTCAGTGAAAAGTGATCTTGAGACACATGAAATAACCATCTCTTAGAGTCAGTTTTCTGTTCACGGAGTCCATCTTAAGTACTATAAATAACTAACAGACCTCATGCTCTGAGCATAAATTTGTTTTAGGGGAAGTTAGCAAATAGTCCGAATAATTGGTTGGAATTGGTTTTTACAAATGATATATTTTGCCTTTATAACTGAAAATATTGCCAATAAGCACCTCTAATCTTTCCCTCCCAGAAATTCATTCTTAGTAATTGAAATCTATTTTACAGTGATATGGACACAAGTTGCCAGAATAGAATCGTTCCTTATGCGTACCCACAATTCTGTCTCTGTAAGGGAACAAAGCCAGGGATTTAGTACCATGTTGGTGGGAGTGAGCTGCAGGCAGCAATGTGCTCACAGTGCCCCTCAGGTGTGTGTTGTTGGGTGGTGAACAAACCTGGGGTGTTAGTCTGTGTATACTGATCAGAGAAAGTCTTAATTCCAGGCATCGTAACCACCGGCTCTACTATGGTGGAACACAACTACTATGTGTCTGCCTACAAAGTTCTGTACAGTGATGACGGGCAGAAATGGACTGTTTATAGAGAACCTGGTACGGAGCAGGATAAGGTAAGTGATTAACAAAGTGTTTTTAAAATGTATTTTCTTTTTTTTTTTTTTATTGTTGCTTACATTGTATTATGTAGTACGGTTTTATAGGCGCTGGGGATTCCCCCCACCCCTCCCATACCCCTCCCCCCATGGTGGATTCCTCTACCTTGTTGCATAACCATAGTTCAAGTTCAGTTGAGATTCATTGCTTGCAAACACATGCCTAGCATAAAGTTCAGTGTCTTATTGTCCAGATAAGTTCAGTGGCCTCTTGGGGAGACCTTCTCTGGTCTGAAGATAGGTCTAACAGAGTAAAGATCCGGTCAGTTGAAAGCCCCAACAAAACCTCAGTATCAATATACAACATTATGGAATTAATTGACATAGTATTGGGTAAACAATATGTTAAAAATAATGCATTTTCAGAGAGTGCTTTGCCAAAAGCTTAGAGGGCCTTCAGTATACAGCTTTGTCTTGCACTGCCCTCTTCTGGTTGCTTTAGGGAGTGTAAGTTAATTGTTCTAATTGTTTTTTTTTTTAAAAAAAAGGACCTCTGTTCTCTATGTCCTTGTAAGGTCAGTACTTCTTGACTTTCAGTGCTGCATTTTAAATTTTTTAATTGTTTAAATACTGTTTAAAGAAAGTCTAATCTATGGGGGTTTTTTTTGACTTTATAATGCTTTTCTTGTCAATGTTCCAAATATTGCAGAGGCTGAGAGGGCCTCAGATTTCTATTCTATAGTCAAGAGCAGACAGACAGCTGAGGACTGCTGGCATGGTAGCATGTCCTGGACTTAGAAGTCATTTAAGACTACCTCATGAATTCTTTTTTTAAAGATTTATTTTTTATTATTTTTTTATTGGAAAGGCGGATATACAGAGAGGAGAGACAGAGAGGAAGATCTTCTGTCCGATGATTCACTCCCCAAGTGAGCGCAACAGTCGATACTATGCCGGTCTGAAGCCAGGAACCTCTTCCGGGTCTCCCACGCGGGTGCAGGGTCCCAAAGCTTTGGGCCGTCCTCGACTGCTTTCCTGGGCCACAAGCAGGGAGCTGGAAGGGAAGCCGGGATTAGAACCGGTGCCCATATGGGATCCCAGGCGTGCAAGGCGAGGACCTTAACCACTGCGCCACCGCGCCGGGCCCAATTACCTCATGAATTCTTAAATATCCCTTTTTTTTTTCTGACTCACAAATTTCCTTAACTTGTGTTGATAATTATGAAGTCTGTGTTTTAGTTAGCAAAGCAAGCTTGTGAACTTGCTGTGATGAGCCACACCTGCCAGGAAGGGGTGGTTAGTCTGAGTGTGTTACATCCACGTGCCTGTTCCATTCACGCTGGCTCCTGGGCCGTGACCGAACACAGGGATCTTTAAGTTGAGAAGTCACTGTCCTCTGGGGACATAGATCCCCGCCACCAAGCCTTGAAACTATGAACGTATCTTCTCATTAATCTTGTTACGACTTTGGCCTCAGTTATATTTTCAGTTCTGTGGCGTCTATATAATTTGCTGTGTAATTTCAGTTACCACTTTTATCATCTGCTTCCGAAGCCTCCAGACTCCCCGTCTCAGGGAGCCGTGCAGTCTTATGCTGCTGCTGCTCGGGGGCTTCTCCTGCTTGGTGCTGTGTGCACTTTGTCTCTGATGAAGCCCTGCCTGGTCCAGCAGACAGCACACCGTCTTCCACCTTGTCCTCTGCTGAACGCCCCAGACCTGACCGCTCTACTCCTGGCACATCTGTCTCTACCTGTCACCTTATGCACAGATCAACTGTAAATGGGTCAAGGACCTAAATCTGCACCCAGAAACCATCAGCCTATTAGAGGAAAGGAAACTAGTAGAGGAAGCACTGTACGAGATACAGGTGTTGGGGGAGACTTCTTAGAAAATATCACTGGAAACACAGGCCGGCAAAGTCAAAATAAACAAAAGGACCTCCATCAAACTAAGAAACTTCTGCTCAGCAACAAACAGAATGGGTGAAGATCTTCACATACTACATAACAGATAGTGGGTTAATATCGAAAACATTATAAAAAGGATCAGAAACTCAACAACAGCAAAACAACAACCCTGTTAAGAAATGGGCAAAGGAAATTAGGCATGTGAAAAAATGCTAAGGTTCCACTTAACTCCAGCAGCATGGCCTACATTTAGAAATCTACCAACACATCCTGGTGTGGGTGTGGGAGAACGGTGCCCTACTCCACTGTTAGTGGGAGCGGAGGTTAGAGTAGCCACTATGGGAGTCAGTATGGGGAGTGCTATGATAATGGATTTACCATATGACCCGGCTATCCCATTCCTGGGAATATATCCAGAGGACACTTCTGTATGTGAGAATAGAGCTGCAACTGTATATTCACAGCAGCAGAATCCATAATAGTAAAGATATGCAAACAACCCAGGTGCCTGTGAAAGAGGAAGGGATAAAGAAACTGACACAGCCACTCCCCGTGGAATACTCATCCACTAAATAGGGTAAGATTCTACCATTTACAGCCATATGGTCCCGACTGGAGATCATTATGCTGCTTAGTCGAACAAGTCAACCCCAAAAGCACAAATATTATTCTCTCTGATATAAAGCAACCTTCATGCATAATGCAAAATTAATAGCTATACAGGTAACACGTATATAAAGTCTCATGGATGAACTATATAATGGAGACTAGCATACTGGGAAGGGAAGATACGTTGCAGTATGCATCTCTTCTCCCAAGTGAATGGAGGACTGCCAGTGAAACTGTTAAATACACCTTGACAATCTATGAGTTCCCCATTGTCTATACCTGTGACGCCATGATACACTTAAATAGCAGAATGTTGGACCTGTTGCAGTTGTATAAGGAATATAATACTGTCATAACACGGGGTAAAATTGTGTATGGGGGGACATAGGTACAGAGGAAGTGGAGCTGGAGGGAGGCCCTATACCTACAAAACAATATCATGGAAAATAATATCAAAATAATTGTAACGGTACCAAAAAAAAGCCTAAAAGGTATACTTGTAAAATAGAGTTATAGGTTTAAGTTTTAAGAATTACTTACACCTGAAGTATATAAAGTTCTGGAAGGATTGAATTATATTGCTAAAAAAGCTTTTTACCTTCATTCTGCTTATAGCTCTTTGAGCTGCTGCTCTCCTGTGCATCAAATCTAGAAAAGTACAGCTGTAGAGCCAGGGTTGTAGTCTAGCAGCTGAGCCCATCATCTCCTGGGCACCAGGTCAAGTGCCAGGTGCTCCGCCCGCTACCCAACTCCTTCAGATGCCATGAGAAAAGCAGCAGAACATGGTACAAGTGTTTGGGCTCCTGATTCCCACATGGGAGATCAGATGAAGCTCCTGGCTCCTGGCTTCAGCCTGGCCCAGCACTGGCTATGAGTACAGATTTTTTTTTTAAATAGTGCCCCTCTAAAATTCCAACTTTATAAATACTATGATTCATAAAGATGTCTCACAGTTTAGATGCCTTATTTTTTTTTTTCTAAAGGTTTCTTTTTTTCTCTTAATGTTTTATTTGGAAACACATCTTTTGTTATGTCTTCAAGTTCAGTATTCTGTGATGTCTCATCAACTGTTAATATGACCCAATATGTGTATTTTATGTGTTTTTAAAATCTGCTTTTTATTATTATCATTATCATTCTCTGACAACCATTGTCCAGCTTTTCAAATGTTTAAGGCTACCACGTAAATCTGGTCCCTGTTAGTGAAAGTTGTAATACTGAGTGATATGAAGTAACACTGATACGGAATGATGTTTCCTCACTGAACATCTGTCATCTGCTCCTTCGTTTACTGCTAAATTCAGCACATGGGAAATTCATTGTCATAGTGTTCTAGGGTTGCACATGGATGTGTGTGAGCACATGCAAGCACATGGAGGCTTTAACTGGCTTGTTTTCAGAATATTTATAATAATGTATGTATGGATGTGTAAGTCTAAATTACATAGGAAAGCAAGTTAAATCTATATTTACACATGTCTGTAGACAAGTAGATTGTGTGTTGTTTGTAACAGTATCTAGTAACACTTGAATCGCTTGAGCATGGGGTTTGACTTTCATATCCGTTTTATTCTCATCGCATCTTGCAAACTTCTCTATATGAAGGGATGGTTTGACCATGGCAAATAATTTTCACTCAAGTTTTATAAATTCTTTCCCATTTATCTTTTATTAAATTGACACTATAACACATAGGAAGACATTAGTGATAGTTTAGGTCCTAAATGATGTTTCACCACTGTTCCTGTTCTGTCAGTGTCATAACCAAGACCACAAGAACGCCTTGCAGAGTAACATCTCACACAGTGTGAAAGCTGATTAGTGTGGATACTACTGCAACTTCAGAACATACTCTTCAGGCTGTAAACACAGCTGTGGAGATCGTAACATAATGCTCAGGAATCGGCTGAGAATAGCCATAACATTTGAAAATAACGTGATTGAGAAATAAAACAGTTGTTTTCAGCTGTCTTAAAAAAAAACTGTAAAAGCACATCTGCTTACCGATGATCTTTAGAAGTCGGCTGGTTTGGCCTGAGATCGGGTGGGGCCCTGTTGAACTGTCTGGAATGCCACACAGCCGCTTGGCCCGCATTCAGGTCACTCGCCCTCATCCACGAGCTGTGTGTTATCAGCGAGCATCTGACTTAATTACATGGAAAAGCTTTGCAAATAATTGAGCTATTTTAGCATAAGATACTATTGTCTCGAAATAGTTGAAGGCATGAGATAATTTAAGGAATCAGGTAGTGACCTGAAATCACAGCTTATTGTTTCTGTGTTGCAAAGTCTTTTTCTGATGACATGGAGAACACTGATGTATGGCGTGGGCCTGTCTTACTGCAGTTCATCCACTCATCCACTAGGTGGAGGAATGCAGCTGTTGTGTGTTTATTAGTTCACTGTATGGGGGGAAAAACCATGAAAAGTACATGAACAGAGCATTTCCTTTAAGACTGGTATGATGAAACAGGTTTCACTTTTTTTTAAAAGAATTAATATATTTTATTGGAAAGTCAGATATACATAGAGGAGGAGAGACAGAGCTTCTGTTTAGTGATTCGCTCTCCAGCTACCACAGTGGCTGGAGCTGAGCTGATCTGAAGCCAGGAGCTTCTTCCAGGTCTCCCACTCAGGAGCAGGGTCCCAGTTGGGCTGTCCTTGACTGCTTTCCCAGGCCACAAGCAGGGAGCTGGAAGAGAAGCAGGGCCACCGGGATATGAACTGGTGCCCCTATAGAATCCTGGTGCACGCAAAGAGAGGATTCTAGCCACTAGGCTACGGTACCAGGCCCACACATTTCAAGTAGTTTGTATGTTTTGCAAGACTAGTTACTAATTTATGTACACAGTAAACTCAGTGCAGTTGAACTTCCCACTTGTTAATTCCTAAATCATGTTGGAACAGTTTCCATACTCAGTGTTTTCCTTTCATAAACTTATAAGATTTGGAAATAATTGTTAACCCTACTGTCATACTTTACAGATGTCATTTAAGCCCAAACAAAAGTGAAGCCACGTGTAAGTGGGACGGTTAGTCCTCACCAGTTTTGTTTTTTTGTTTTTTAGATATTTCAAGGAAACAAAGATTATCACCAGGACGTACGTAATAACTTTCTGCCACCGATTATTGCACGCTTTATTAGAGTGAACCCTACCCAGTGGCAGCAGAAGATCGCCATGAAAACGGAACTGCTCGGATGTCAGTTTATTCCTAAAGGTAGAAGGACAGTGTGTTTAAAGACATGCTGTTTTGACTGGGTTGTGAATTTAAAATGTTCTTTTTGTTGTTGTCCTCAGGGAAAGCAATTGATAATAACGCGTTTCTGTGTTAAAATACTAGTTAGTTACAGTATCAAAGGACATTTTTAAGATAAAAACAGCCTATCCATTCTTGCAAATCAGAATGATTTTCAAATTGAGTAGAAGAAACGCCATCATTTATGAGATGATGAAATGGCTCTCCAGACACCGCTTCAGCCGTGATTGTTTTTATGAGTTCTCACGGACTTCATGATGTGTGTCAAATACGAAGCAGTGATTGCAACGGTATCCTTAGCCTCAGTACCTTTTATGTTGAAGAAATTAAAAGTGGGAATAATTTTGACCAGTTTTATAAATTAACTATTTACTATTATCCCCCAAACTGCCAGTGCCGGACAGGCCTTCAAACATTTGGACTAATTGAATCGAGTGTTATCAAACGTGACATCTTTATTCCTTTGGAGTCAACATCATTCCCTTTTCTATTTCTCCCCTTTAAATTTAAAAACTTGAAGAAAAAAAAAACAGTATGTTTGTGCATTTAAAGTGCACTATTTATCCCTCTGCAGAATTGAGTAGTTTTAGGAAAAAACCTACAGAATTGAGTGGTTTAAAAAATCTGCAGAATTGAGTGGTTTAGGAATTGCTAAGATATTTGACATTGCCGTCTTTATGAATATTAAAAGCAAAATGTAACTGTCTATAAACCATTTTTCAAGGTCGTCCACCAAAACTTACTCAACCTCCGCCCCCTCGGAACAGCAATGACCTCAGAAACACTACTTTCTCTCCCAAAATAGCCAAAGGTAAATCAGCCTTTAATGTGAAAACCCGATATTCCCTGGATTTGTAATGTAACTTTCCAGAAATGTTCTAAAATCATTATGAAATAGCTATCTTAAGTTGATCTAGATGAAACAATTAAGAGTTCTTATTTTTTCAAGGTCGTGCCCCCAAATTTACTCAACCACTACAACCTCGCAGCAGTAATGAATTTCCTGCCGAGACAGAACAAACAACTGCTACTCCTGATATCAAAAATACCACTGTAACTCCAAATGTAACCAAAGGTATGCCAGTGCGAAACGAACCCATTGCCTAGTGAGCTTTGGTGGTTTTTTTTTTTTTTCTTTTTTTAAATCTGCTTATTTTTATTGGAAAGGCAACTTTACAGAGAGAAAACCTTCCATCCACTGGCTCACTCCCCAGATGGCGTCAACAGCTAAAGCTGAGTGGATCTGAAGCCAGGAGCCTCTTCCAGGTCTCCCACAGGGATACAAGGTCCCCAGGACTTGGACTATCCTACACTGCTTTCCGGGGCCATAAGCAGGCAGCTGGATGGCAAGTGGAGCATCCGGGACACAAGCCAGTGCCCATGTGGTATGCCAGTGCTTGCAGGGAGAGTAGCCTATTGAGCCATCATTCTGGCCCCTTTTTTGTTGTGTCTCTAACTTCAGTTGTGCAGGACTATTTCCTCAGTTTCGTATCTGTGTTTTCCTCTAAATATAAGCCCCTCAAAATGACTTCGTTTCTTAAGGAAAAGACTATGTCAATTTGCTGTTCCATTGTCAGGTGCTGGATGTAACTCTTCTTTCAGGATTTAGAGATGACTGCTATGTTGTAGGTCTCCACTTGTGGTTATTTTTTCCCTTGCCAACCAACTATATTGTGTCTCAGAAATTTTTAGAAATAATTCATAGAATACAAACTTCCCCATCCCTACCCCAAATTTATGCTAATTTTTTGGATGGGGAATTTGGTGGCAAAAGTGGGGGAAATAGAACTTTTGATAAGAACTAATACTTTTTTAAAAATACTGTTAATATACTTATTGAAAAAGAACAAGCTTTGATGCCTTTTTTTTTTTTAATTTATTTTTATTGAAAGGCGGGGATGTACAGAGAGAGAGGAGGAGAGACAGAGAGGAAGATCTTCCCTCTGTTGGTTCACATTCCAAGTGACCGCAATAGCTGGAGCTGCGCCAATCCAGATCCAGGAGTTCTTCCGGGTCTCCCACGTGGGCGCAGAGTCCCAAGGCTTTGGGCTGTCCTTGACTGCTTTCCCAGGCCACAAGCAGGGAGCTGGATGGGAAGTGGGCCCGCCAGGTTAGAACTGGCGCCCATATGGGATCCCAGGCATGCAAGGCAAGGACTTGAGCCACTAAGCTATTGCACCAGGCCCCTTAGATGCCTTTTTGAAATGTTTGCAGTTGTAGATTTTTTAAGGTTGGAATTTTTTTAAATTCAGCTGTATCAGAACTTACCATTGTTATCCATGAAGATATATAAAAATATACAGTATGGTTAAAATATAGGAAGCATCATCATTCTTTGTACTGCAAGTGGGAAATGAAGTTTCTAGAAGAATTCAGAGACAGGTCAGCATTGTGGTAGAGTTGGTGTGAGTCCTGGCGACAGAAGCTGTCTGTTTTAGTCAAGCAAGGAGAAGGGAAAGCAGTTTGTCCTGGGTAGCTTTAACACAACTATTCATTCTCATTTCCTGAATGTTTGCCTGGATCCAGATAAGTCTCCAACTTAGCACGTCAGGATCTTTCTGTCTTTCAAGATATTTTTTCCAAGAAGTGGTGTGGGAAGAGCGAGCCCACGAGCCAGCCTGGGCCTCAAAGTGGGAGATCTCGGGTTTCTCCCAGAGAGCCCCGGGCCAGCTGCTAAAGGTGTGGGAATAGGTCACAATCCCAAACCACCTGCATGGATGGAAAAGTTGCAAAATCCCAAAACCTGAAGTCTAAAACCTTCCTGAAAGTGTCTTCTTTCAGAACTAGAATTTCTGTGAACTTAGAAAGGATATTAGAAATGGGCCGGTCTTCTCAAATGAAGATATCTAATCTCCTTTCTCTAGAATGGTAGTGTGTAGAGCTATTCTCTGTTCTTAAGTAAAAGTTTTGAAGACTGATTCAGTCATACCACAGCTGCCTAAACTTGATGGTTCTTTCTAGTGTCAAAAATTTTAGAGGGAAGGGACATTTATTTGTCCAATTTTAGGGACTTTCTAGCCCGAGTCATAATGTGTGCTTTTTAAAAAAGATTTATTTTTATTGCAAAGTCAGATATATAGAGGAGGAGAGACAGAGAGGATAATCTTCTGTCTGATGATTCACTCCCCCAGTGACCACAATGGCTGGAGCTGAGCCAATCCAAAGCCAGGAGCCAGGAGCTCTTTTGGGTCTCCCATGTGGGTGCAGGGTCCCAAGCCCTTGGGCCATCCTCTACTTCTTTCCCAGGCCACAAGCAGGGAGCTGGATGGGAAGTGGGGCTGCTGGGATTAGACCTGGACCATGTAGGATCCTGGCACATTCAAGGCGAGGACTTTATCTACTAGGCCACCACAACAGGCCTAATCTGTGTGCTTTTCTCATCCATTTTCACAGCCAGGCTCAGAGTGGATTCAGGAAGAGAATCATGTCATGGTCAGGATGTGCCCCTAGAACTTCCAGTCCCCTGTCATTGGACTCCTTCTATCCGAGTGGACTTGGGATTGATAATGCATGGGATTTTCTTATGGTTTTTGCTTTTGGTAATAATGCACACCTTTTTTTTTTCTGACCTCAGATGTGGCGCTGGCTGCAGTCCTTGTCCCTGTGCTGGTCATGGTCCTCACCACTCTCATTCTCATATTAGTGTGTGCCTGGCATTGGAGAAGCAGGTTAGTACACAACTAGTTCACCTTGCTAGTCCCAGGGTGGGATGTGTTCCAGAGCTGCCAAATGTAGAACAGAACTAAATATAGAAGATCTATATATACTTCACCTGTTGGATAATGAGAGTTAAGTTAGTTTCTGAGTAAAAATTACACGTTACCCTTTCATTCCATTCCACAGTCACTTACTGAGTACCTTAATTGTATCAGGATCAGCTTTTATACATTTGCATATAAAATTAGAGTTTGGATTTATAATAACCTATAATAGTAGGTATTTGGTAATATTTACTGAAAGAATGAGACACATTCCCTTTTCTCAAAGTATCTAACAGGATTGAAGGATAACAAACTGTCACATGGTTTAATGAGTTACTTATGAAATTCTAGGGAGAACCATTTGAGTCATCCAGAATTCTTCAGTAAAGGGGAATCGTCAAGTATGTCACAATTTGCCTTTAAAGAAATGAAGTTAGCTGCATACAAGAAGCGATGTCTTAGTTTGTTCAGGCTACTGAAAGAAAAACCTAGCAGTTCAGTAAGTTATCAGCAACAGAAATTCATTTCCCAGAGTTCTGTGCTTGAGAAACCCAAAATCAAGACACTGGCAGGTGGCGTGTCTAGCGAGATGTGACTCTGGCTCATAGATGGCTGCTCCCTTCCTATGTCTTCACATGCTGGAAGAGGCAGATGAGTTCTCCCAGACTTCCTCTGTGAAAACCCTGATAGCATCCGTGAAGTGTCTGCTGTCTTGACCTAAGCACGGCCCTAAGGCCTCACTTCTCTTACCGCTGCCCTTCGGCTGTGAAGTTTGTAGACAGATGTGCACTCAGACTATAGCAGCAGTAGAGAGTAACCCAGACTGAGCAAATTGCTTCAGTAGAGGCACGGTGGTGCGATGCAGCCAGAGAAGTGCAGTGCCCTAAGTGGCCTTGGCAAGGGACCGTCTTGAGAAGTAGCCAGGAAAAGGCAGTCTAGGCCTAGATCAAGAAGGACGATCTGTAGAGAGAATTCTAGATTTAATTCCATTGATGTGATAATCATTATGTGTTAAGCAGATGGATGATATTATCTGATGATTATAAAAATAGAGTGGCAGGAGTTCAAGGTGAATTGTAGAGAGACTGGAAGAGGCAGAGGATGCGTGAGGAAACTCCCTAAACTAGTCAGTTACACAACACTGCAGTTCTAGGAAGTGGAGAAGGAATTGGGCACAGGGAGGTGTTAGACCACAGCAGCCAAAGGATGTGAGACTATTTGTGTTCTCACTTTGAACAAAGGATCTGAGTTTTCCAGTTTGTGCAGTTAAACCAGTCGTGATCTCATGAGTTCAGATAACAGAGTAAGAGGGACAGGCCTGGTAGAGAAAAAGGATGATTGCATTTGTTTAGCCCTTCAACAAATATTTGAATAGTAGGCTCCAAATATTGAGGCACATGCTGCCCTGTCCAGTGATGAGCCCCAATGTTTGGAGATGAGGAGAGGATACAGTGCATTGAAGTATGAGCCATGGTACTGCCCACAGAACTTGGGGCGTGAAGGAAGCTGGAGGAGCATGAAAGCCCAAGACCCCGATGTTGGGAAGGGGAGCAGATAACCAGGAAAGTGGTGTGAAGGCAACAGAGGATATGAGGAGGGTTGAAGGCTTCAGGACATCTGAGACTGTCAGATGCATTTGGCCAGCTGAACAATAGCAGCAGAAGCAGTAAGGACCAACATCAGCAGTAGCCAACTTTCTTAGAAAATTAAATGCTAATTCTGGGCCTTATGTTTAATGCGTCACACATTCTCCTAAATACTATTCTACATGCATGTGTTAATTCATTTCCTCTTCCAAACAATGTATAAATCGGGTGCCACTTTGAATTCCATAAGAAAGGGAGATGAAGGGTTAGTAACTTGGCTGAGTTTTCCTGGCTGGTGCCTGGTAGAAAGGAGTTTTGGACTAGGCTGGTGCTGTTTCTGATCATACACTGAATTAAATATAATCCACTGTGTTTAACTATGCCACCTGCTATCCCACCCATAAATTCTGAAACTGTGAAATCACAAATACAACCAGCCTTTAAAAAATGAGGAAGGCTTATAAAGGTTTAATGTCAATATTAAAAGCATACAGTGTTTTACTGGAAAGGAATGTTTCCTAGGATGAAAAGAGCATGACTTCGGCCCTATGTAGAAGCCACATGGTGATACTGAGCAAGTAATTCAACTTTTTTGTCTTCATCTGTGCACTGTAAGAATCTGTTTTTCCTTTAGCTTGCAAGCACTAGTTTTAATTATATTAGTTGTATATGCTTGAATCAGAAAGTGTCCTTTCATTCACTTTCTCTGTAAGAGGTTTCAGATCAGCAGTGGTTGCTAACAGGGCATCACACAGCTGCTGGGGAGAGCGGGTCACAGTGCTAAGGGCCGGGCAGGGAGAATTGTCACTGAGGCGCTGCGCCTCCCACGTCCCTGGAGCCACCCACACTTGACGAATTGTGTTGTCGCCTCCGTTTGCCACTCATGAGTGATGGCATTGACTCATCCTGGAATGATTGGGGGAGTTAAGTCTGTGCAACACTTGAGCCTTCTCAGAGGCAAAGAATCATAAAAGCAAAGAAGGAAGTTGGAAAAATAAAACTAGAAGATGAGCTTTTTAACTGTGAATTTTGTGAATCTATTGATTTGTGATATTTGTGTTTGAAATCAAAGCCAGTCTAACATGATTTGCCATGTCAATGCTGAGACTTTAATTCGATTCAGTTATTTCTCCGTTATCCCTCTTGAGTTGGCAATAGGTGGGTAACCAGGTAGCTATCTTGGAAGGCAGTTAATTTCCTGAGATTCCAGGATTTATATTCCAGAATTGTGGCACATTGAAAGTCAAATGAAATAGATCAGCAAGTAGAACTATGTGCTCTTGGTAAATTATTAACTTGGGTGTTTATGCTGTAGCTAAAGAGATTTCTTTCCACTGAATTCACTCTGTTGGCTCACTTTTTCCCCTGTATTTTTCCAGAAAGAAAAAAGCAGAAGGCACCTATGACTTACCATATTGGGACCGGGCAGGTAACTCATGGGGACCTGGCTTTTCCTTTCAATCAGAAGCAAGTCCTTTCCCTGCAGGAAGCAGCAGTGCGAGTGAACAGGTGTTCTCAGACCCCACTACAGCTCCCATTGCTGTCAGAACAGCAGCTCCCGCTTCTCTTCCCACCATTTTCTCCTTCTGCAAAGTCTCTGTAGTTAATAAGCAATGAAGTAGAAAGCACAGATTTCTCACATAACACAAGCTGTAGTCTTTTTCCTCTGGAAAACTTGTGTGTAGCTTTCTCCTTGGCCTGTGTGAACATTAGGTAAGAAACTAAGACTGCAGTCCCAGGAACAGGGGGTTGTTTGCCACTACCATGATAATTTCCCCCAGAAAATGATGCCAGTTCAGGCATTCCTGAGGTCTGAGCTGAGCTGTCCGTCACCACAGAGGATTCACAGCCCCCAGAGCAGTGTTCTGCCTTCCCTGTCTCACTGCTGGGACAGCTGTGACGAAACAGGAGAGCTCTTCCTGCAGGACCAGTGACGCAAAGGGCAGAGCTGGGGACAGATTGCAGTGTTGTTATCACCCCAGGGTGAGTCTGGGAAAGTGCTTTAAAAGAAAAAAAAAAAACATACTAAATGCCACCGCTGCAGTAGTCACCCTATCTGGCTGCACTATACAAGCGGCTGCTTTTGATTAGATTTTTGGTATGAGTTGCTTTGCACTGGATAGTCCATCAAACCAGAATACATAGTTGAACATAAAGACTAGTTTGTATAGATAGTTGTTATAGAAATGGCTTAAGTGCCACAGAGTTTTTCCCCTTGATGTTATCTTTTGAGGCTTTGGTTCTCATTTAATGGTTTGTTTTTTGTTTTGGCTTTTCATAATGAAGGTTGGTGGAAAGGAATGAAGCAGTTTCTCCCTGCCAAGTCAGTGGAACACGAGGAAACCCCAGTTCGCTACAGCAATAGTGAGGTTAATCACCTGAGTCCCAGGGAAGTCACCACGATGCTGCAGACCAACTCCGCAGGTATGTGGCAGCCAGGCAGGGGAAGGCTGCTTATGTTCAGTGCTTTCCGAAGTGTAATAGCTTTGATATTTCTTCACTGTGTAAGAGATGAACTAGTTTTCATGATGGTGACCTTTGAAAGTCATTTCTGTGTCATGTTCTAAATTTGGGGCATTCGTTTCGAAAGAGCATTTTGTCTGTTCATGTGGGTTTCTTTTTTCTTTTAAGATTTGTTTATTTACTTAAAAGGCAGAGTTAGAAAAAGAGACACACACTCCACAAATGGCCACCAAAGCAAAACTAGGAACTTCTTCAAGGTTTCCCAAATGGGTGGCATGGCCCAAGTAGTTGGACCAGTTTCCACAAATTAGCAAGAAACTAGACTGGAAGTGTAGTAGTCAGGACACAAACTGGTGCCCATGTGTGATGCCAGGATCACCAGCAATGGCTTAGTTTGTTATGCCACAGCAGTGGCCACCCTGGAGTTTTATTTGTTTAGGCCTTTAAGAGAGGACAACATGCTAAGTAGCAAACCTGCTATATATTCATATTTACCATGTTAGCCTAGAACATATTCATTCTAAACATTTTCTGGTGTGTGAAAAGGAGGAAACATTAATTCTCAAGACTGATACTTAATCCAGTAAGATTTCTTTTTAATGAAATAGTATCTATAAATCTAAATATGTTCTTTATGCAAAATGGATGCATTACTGTGACTTACTAGATAACATCTGAAATTGTCCCTTTTAAAGTTGGATCATGCAAGTGGGAATCCATAGGTCTGTGTTTTTGTGACAGGTACCCTTGAGAAGCACGTAGTCTGGGGGTTCCTGCCACTGCCTCCCAAAGTTCTGTGATCCCTTAAGAGCAGAATGACTTCTGTGTCACCTTTTGTGATCTCCACAGAGTATGCACAGCCACTTGTGGGAGGACTTGTTGGCACCCTTCACCAGAGATCAACCTTCAAGCCAGAAGAAGGGAAAGGCACAGGCTACGCAGACCTCGATCCTTACAACTCGCCGGTGCAGGAGGTGTATCATGCCTACGCCGAACCACTCCCCATCACTGGGCCTGAGTATGCAACGCCCATCATCATGGACATGTCGGGGCACTCCACAGCCTCAGTGGGCCTGCCTGCCACGTCCACTTTCAAAGCCACAGGGAACCAACCTCCTCCTCCTCCTCTGGTGGGAACTTGCAGTCCGCTTCTCGCCAGGACTGACAGCTGCTCCTCAGCCCGGGCCCAGTATGACACCCCAAAGGGTGGGAAGCCTGCGCCAACCGCCCCAGATGAGTTGGTGTACCAGGTGCCACAGAGCACACAGGAAGTATCAGGTGCCGGAAGAGATGGGGAATGTGATGTTTTTAAAGAAATCCTTTGAGGGTTATGCTGCTTTTTCCAAGCATCATTTTAAAGCACATGGCCTTTTTACAGATGATTAGTGGTAGTGAAATATAGAATTATTACATATCTGTCACTGAAGTGGCTGGGGAGTTGGAAGGACCAAGGTACAGGAAACTACTAATCTTGCCATCTGGCTTTGAAGGTGTTACTATGGCACAGTCACTGCTTGCCTCTTAAATTTCTGACATCCTGTTTGTTACTACTGTAAGACACTATTTTAATACAGAAAAATCTGCCTATAGTGCACTTCAAAAGAATGAAAAATCACTGAGAGTATTTATTACAGATGCTACAGGTACACTAATGAACTCAAGAGATGGCTCTTTACAAGCCATACTGGCAATAATGCATGGTACTGTTTTTGAAATATCTAATGGCTTGAAATTCTGCTCTGTGAAAGATGGGTACTATCTTCATTTCCTATTCTATTCCTAGATTGCATCCTGCATTATTATTTTAAATAGTGACACATGCACTGTTTGGATTGCAGCTATACACATTAGGAAGATCTGTAGTCTTACAATGAACATGGTGGCAACTTCACTTGTGGATACTCATAAACACTCACGCTCTGTGGTGCCTGACCTGGTCTCATCCTGGCTTCTTCTGACCAGAGTCTTACAGGGTGAGCCCCATTCCTGTTTATAAATTAATGCCTGGTTTATTTCAGCTGGTGATGTTTGCTGTATCCATCTCATGAATTCAGATCCTTCCATGGAGATCTGGAGAAGAGTTATTTACTATTTAGAAAAGTCACAAAACAGACTGCTAACCCCAAATTTAATTTACAATGAGATTTTTCCTAGGAGAATGGTGAACGGTTGTAGGCTTTTAGGTGACTGCTGTAAAGATAACCCATTTATATTTATCACAGTGAAAGGCAAAATCACAAATAATAAAAATCATCATAAGAAGACAAAGCATGCAATTAAAATTAGTCCTCTTTGATTTTACACACACACACACACACACACACACAAATTATTCTGGAGTCTCAAGATACTGTATCACTTTTAGGCAAGTAAAATAATTTCAGTGCATTTTTCAACAGTAAACCTTTACAAGAAATACCAGCCCCACATGTGTCGTGTCATGCTTTCTGTCATACCTCAAGAACAGATGCAACAGCAGGCTAGCAAATCAATATTCATGCTTTGTCTTGGGTACTTCCTGGCAACTTCCTTATCACTGATCGTGACTGACCAGAGCTGATTGCAGATAAGGCAAAATTAAAAACTGTCTGCAATGTATCGGCTTCTAGTGTAAAAAATAACATCTTTTGAAGTCTTTTGGACTGGAGAGACAACATAAGAATCCTACCATATGAGGAAAAATACATAAGCTTGACATCCCATCTTCTATTAACCTTATTTTGTAGGCTTCATGTGAATATATACCTCTGCTCATCCAGTTCAGTGATTCTGTTGACCAGGCCACCAGACTGAGATTGCCCGAGTTCCCTGAATTTGAATAAAGATGAATGAATAATTTCATTTGTTTCGCTTCCATGACACTCACACATTGCTCCAAAATAAAAGCATTTACTTCTTCAGCCTTCCTGTGTTCTCTCATGGTACAATTCTGTTGGCTTTATTTTCATTTGCTTTCCTTTTTTCCAGATAAACGTAGAGGCACAATTTTTAAAATCGATGCGTATTTTTCAAAAGCACAGATGTTGAACTTTGAGACACACATGAATGTGTAAAGTATGCGTATTAATGCAGCCACCCCCTTTCAGGTGGGAAGAGAGCAAACCAGTTGCTTTAATTTTGTTTAAATTCAGTCTTAGTACCCGGAGCATATACTCTTCCTCAAGTCACATACTTGTTTGAAGCTTTAACAGAGATATTTTCAATGATTATTTCTTTGCTTTTTCCAAAGCAGCTTACTGTTTTTGTGTAATTGTGTGTATCTGATTATTCTTCCCTGGAGTTTTTGTTCACGAAAGGAAAGTGCTTTCTGAAATTATGCATATTTTAAAACTTGATTCATATTGCCACTGTGCTGTCTTTGAATTGCCAATGATTTTAATAAAATAATTTTTACTACTTTTGTATATTTTCCTTTCCAGATGAAGAGCTGAGCCTGATTCAGTTAGTTTTTCTTGTTCTGTACTTTGAGTTTGTCTTCCTGTTAGTGGTTGTTTTTTGTTTTATCTTTTAATCTTTGTCTATTACAGCTTTGGAGACAATCAAGTAACAACTGAAAATGTGAAAGTAATCATTTTGGAACAATTTCATTGAATTTGTATTCTTTGCTTGAAGCATTTAAGATTTAAGTCATCAGTTAATTGGATTATGTGTGTGTGTGTGGATACAATGATAGAAATGGAATCAACAGTGACATGGCAAGTGTGATTCTTACAAGGTTTCATAAAATTACACTGACCTGACTGTTACTTGATCCTAGGAACCAGCACAGTTAAAGATATTGTGAATTTTTATTTCTATTTTATTAAAATGCTATAAGTAGATCCTGTTGTATATGCCAGGTCTAGTCCAGGTATTTAACTTCACATTTCACTATTTGCACTTTGCGTTGAACAATGGGTTTATTCACTGATGGAAATGGTTCAAGTAGAGAGTTCATACAGGAATTAGAATGATGTGTAGACCTGCTCTCCCCCTTGCCCAACAACCCTGGGAGGGGAAGCAGAATCCAAGCTCACCTGAATGTGCCTGTGGCAGAGTGATAAAGCTGGAACTTCCAGCCTTAGCTGTACATTGTACTGAGAGCAGCAGGCCTATAGAAGCACGTCAGATGAGTCAGCTAGAAAGAACCGGTGGAATGCGGAAGATATTGGGAGCTTTGCACTTCTCCTGAGAACTGCTGAAGTTCTGCCTAAAGAACTTACTAGCTCTGCCTAAGTTTGATTCTTAACTTGAAGTCCCTAAACTGCAAAATCTAAGTTGGATGATTATGAAAACTCATTTTTACATCAGCTGAGGCACGCATTCTCATTTAATCCAACTTGCGACTAATTTTTTTTCCTTCCCTTTAACACTGGGAAAATGTATCAAAATGCATATTGGAAATCAAAATGGCCTGAGTGTCAGTGACTCTCCCAGAATGTACTTTTCTTACCTCGGCATGTACTGTAGTCACTCAGTATTTGTATATGTTGCTAGAATTTAGACTGTATAAATAGTAAAATTTTAATGTGTTCTTGTGTTTTAATAAATTGTGTGTGTGTGTGTATATATATATATGCTCATATGTCCTGCTCAGATTATTAAATAAAACAGCCTTAAGGTTTGTATCTTTTTACTACATTAGCCAAAATGCCTGGTTTTTCCATTTTAACATCTGTCACAACTTTTATGTCCAATATCCTCATGCGCACAGCAGCATCTGAAAACACCACCAGTGTATTTTTAGATTTGACTTTGTACGGTCAGCACCAGAGATGTCTGATTTACTTTACAGTGCTGAGCTTGGATGAGCTGATGGAAGGCCCCCACTACACACAGGGATTCCTGTCCAGTACCAGCTTTGTCCTCTGCAGAATCTTAAGACACTGCATACCTAGCCGGATATGAACAGAAAACAGTTCCTATAAATAGGAGTTAACCCAACTATTAATTTTCCCCCCTTAGGCACTCCTTTGAAGTATCTGACTTATTCTTTTAGGGAGCAGGTCATTCACCAGTAACAGTAATTTCTTGAACTCAGGCTGCTTCTGATAGCTTTTAATCACATCATCCTCAAAAACTGTTGTCTCTTCCATCTCGTCCTTCAGGCCACTTTGCCTGGCATCTCACTAACATTTGGGGAGGAAGAGAGGCAGCTCAGCACATCCTGCAGCACAGTCTCACTGTCTGTGCTCTGGTGCCTCCCGGGAGAGGTAAGCTTTCCATGCAAGAGTGGACTTCAGCATATGAACAGTTGTTTGTTTTTCTTTCATGAAGATACCCAGGCCAAGATCCAGTTTTACTCTTTGGTAACGACAACAAAGCAGGTAAAACCCATTTCAATTTACTTCAATTATAAAACTATGCAAATTTAATGAATAAATTAAGCCACATAAAGAAAATGTGGAAGTTTTCCCTTCCTGAGCATTCTTTGCTTAACTTTTTTGTATAAAGTTAAACTATAAAAAAATGATGCAGAGCCAGCACATTTTGGTAATCAGATTCTTTAGTCATTATTTACTCATGCAGAATGTCATGTTTAGCCTGTTTCCTTTGGCTTTAAGCCATATTCATTCTACCGAATTATTACAATCATGATTTAATTGTAAAGGGAGGTGGGCTTCATTCGACCACTATGAACTTAAGACTTTGATGATTGAGTGGGTCCCTTTTGCCACATCAAGGCACAATCACATGTCAGTTCCTCAGGTTTACGATAGCCAACGTGCATCTCACAGAGTCACAATCAAAACTGTTGAGGTTCACTAAGTCTCCTTATGCACTAGGAGGTCAGATCCCTTCAAAAGTCTATAACAAATTAACTATTTAAAAAGATGTTTAAAAACACCTAAGAAAACTAGCTTATTTTAAAAACTCATTGCAGTCAAAACTCAGTTCCCTGATACCTTAACTAAATATTTCTTGGTTTTCATAAATATATTCACAGAAATTAAGCTGGTGGTTATGAATCACCAGGCAGCATGACTTGATACACATAATTGACAAGTGCATTCAACATATTTAAAAATAAACTAAAAATCGCAGTATAAAAATAAAACTAATACTGTTAGCATCATCTTCTGGGTCCGTAGGGTCAATCTTGAGTCAAGTTGATCACAAAGTTTTTTTCTATAATGTCCTTCAAAAAGAGCTGCTCTGCAGTCACATTGTGGTAGGCACTCTAAAGAGGAAAAGTAAAATTACCATCTGTCCCAATCCCAAAGCACAAAAACTGCAACAGAATGTTCTATATCAAGAAAGTTAACGAATATCGAAGTAAAAGTCACGTAATTTTAGCTTTTATTACCTTTCTGATTTGTTTCATTGCACATGTCTTGTGTGAGAGCTGACTCTATTCAGCTTAAGCTATCATCATAAGATTTCAGAGTCTCCTCTAAATTCATACCAAGTTTCAGGATGGAGGAGAAATGAGCCTGATGCAAAGTCTTTCCCAGGTACCAGTTCTTGAACTGCTCAAGTGTTTGTGTTTGGGAGGTGTGTCACATTGACAGGTGAGGCAAAGATGAGATTAAAATCCAGCATGAACCCACCTCATCATACTTCTGCAGTATGGATGGTTTGTCAGGGTCATGTTTCATTGTATATATTGATACCCATGAAGCCATTGATGTCTTAATCAATGTATAGTCATCACAAGTATACAGATAACAGTTTAATTGTATCACTTGTTAAGCCATTATTTAAAACTTAAGAAAATAAAAAAAGGAAACTTTCCATTCAAAACTCATCAGGATCAAATTACCTGTATTGATCACTAATTGTAAAGGCTGTTAGTAGGGTTAGTGTTTTAGACCACTGGTCTACTTAACTGAAGAAATATGTTTAATTACTGTGCACACAGCAATGCTTTTAGATGAATCTGTTATATCTCCAACCTAGCAGGTTATTTAGCGCAACGATATCTAAATGCACTGAAAGTAAGTCCTCACATGGGTTTGATGGTACTTAACAAAAACCATGAGGTTCCACAAACCTGAGACCCACACATTGGGAATTATAATAAAATGACCTTTGGATTTGTGTCTCTTATTGTCACTTCTTGTCAGCTCTGTAACCTGGTAGAATCTTTCCTCAGTAAAATGAAAAGGTGAGAAAATAGGCACTTTGTGACACTGCAGATATTACACCAAAGTACATACATGGCTATGTTACCTTAAATAGCATATCATTGCATGTTACCTTATTCATCAAAGACATGGTGGCATTCCCATAGTAGTGCAAAGGACTTTTGAGGTCAGAGAAGTTGTATTTAAAACCAGCTAGGTGAACTTCATGACATATGTGGAATGCCAATGTGATGGCAATAAGTCCCGTTGTTGGGTGTTTGGGTTTCTGAAGGAAAATGAAGTAATCCAGTTGAGTTACTTGTTTCCAAAGCATATTTACTTAATTTTACAAAAACAGATTTCTAAACATGTATCAGGAGAGATATAATTAATATTTGATTCAGTCTTAAGCTTCAAGCCCAAACAATACACATATTTGTATGTGTATTGAACCCCAGCTCTGAAAAGTAGCAGTTGGAATGTTACAAAATCTTTCAAGTAGAACTTTGTTATGGTTTCACATTAGAGGACAAATACCAAATGAAAGGGGAAGGCACTCTGCCTTGTTTAAAACAAAAATGAGTCAGTTTTCATTGGGGAAAATAAAGTGTAGACATTTTGAATGCTAGTATCCAAAGGTAAGGAGAGGGGTCACTAATGGATAGAATCATCATAAAAGGCTTCAAATGTGGCAGACGTGTGGCATACTAGCTAAAGCCGCATCCTGCAACTCAGACATAGTTAACAAGTCCCATCTGCTCCATTTCCAATTCAGCATCCCTGCTAATGTGCCTGGGAAAGCAGCAGAAGATGGCTCCAAAGTTTGAACCCCTGCCATGCAAGAAAATACATGACTTCTGGCTTCAGACTGGCACAGCCCTGACCACTGCAGCCCTTGGGAAGTGAACCAGCAGATGGATGACAAGATCTCCGTGTAGCTCTTCAAATGAATCTTAAAAATACCTGCATTTTATACTCCTGGTCATTTAAGCCCCAAGGAAAAATTAAATGGTAAACTCCAATATCTGATTAGAAAGGTATCCAAATGTATACACAGAAGTAGTATTACCTTCCTAATTTGCATTGTTGAAAAAGAAAAGTGAAAAGTAGAAAGAAGCATCTCTTTCCTCTTGTATGTTTGTATATATGCCCTAAATCTAACACCGTGTATGTTTGTCAGAAGTTTTGACATTCAAAACCTGTTACTGGATGGACTTCAAAGGCAAAACACAAGATGTATATTCTTTTGCATATTGATTCAAGGACATTTGCTTTCAACTAAATTTATGACAGATCTCACGAAAAAATGTTACTTATGACTTTAAGAAAATTAGGAAATATAAGCACAATAAAATCAAATGAGCTCCAGAAGGCAAGTCTTATATCCTAGCAGTGTAAACTTTTGTTACCCAACTTACTGTTTGATTCCATTGCAAACTTTATCATCACTACAGAATAAGTTTAGTGATTGGATTAAAAACCTCAGAAGCCAGGCTGGCATTTTGGTAGAATAGTTAAGACACTGCTTGGGATGCCTGCTCTCAATATTGGAGTGCCTGTCATGTTTTCAATTCAAGCTCCTTGTAATATGCACCCTGGGAAGCAGTAAGTAATGGCTCAAGTGCTTCAGTCCCTGCCACCCAGTCCTGACAACTATAAGAATTCAGTGAGGAGACAATGATACAACAAAAGCAGGTGGAAAGTGTTGAGCCAGGAGCTGGATCTTTGGAGACCGCCGTGATAAGCCTAACTCAAGAGTCCCAGACCTGAAACTCGCTGGAGGGAATGGCTCAAGTGGCTACAAACAAAGAACCAGGTACCAAATGCAGTAAGTAAAACAACTATAGACACAGCTTAGAAGCCTGCCCTAAGAAGCATATGCTAAGCAGAAGTACAATGACCAAGAGCAAAAGAAGAGACAGAGGCACAATGAATATACTGAAGACTCCCTTGCAAAGCAGCAAAACCCTATGCCAGCCTCAGAGTTCACTGAGGAAGACATTGAGGAAATTGGGGATGTAAAACTTACCAAAAAAAATAAAAAACTTGCTATAAAACTTCATATCAACAGGAGCACATTTATGAGTTCAAGGAGTCTAAGAAATATGTCACAGAGGAAATAGCAACACTGAAACAAAATCAAACCAAATTATTGGAAATGAAAGAGGCAATAAAGCAAAATTAATTCAGTGGAAAGTCTCCCTGACAGAATGAGTGAGGCAGAAGAAAGACTCTCAGAAGATATTTCTTGTCACATGGGAAAACATTCAAAAAGCTGGAAGAGAAACTGAGTCAAACTAAAAACAGTATTCAAGAATTAAGGGACCCTATTAAAAGGCCATATACAAGAGTTAGAGAAGAAGGCACAGAAGGCAGAAAGAGAAGCTGGGTTTAAAGCTGTATTCAATGAAACAACAAATGAAAACTCCCTCGATCTGAAGAAAGAATTGGGAAACAACATCCAGGAGGGGCACAGAACTCCCAACAAGTTGACCAAAAGCAGTCTTCACCATGACACATGATAATCAAGCTCTCTTCAGTTGAACATAAGGGGAAAAAAAAAATCCTTAAATGTGCATGTGAAAAAAATCAATAGAGAAATGCCAATCAGACTCACGGCTGATCTCTCATAGGAAACTACAGGCCAGAAGAGAATGGAGCGACATATTCCAGATTCTAAGAGGAAAAAAATGTTGACCCAAAATAATGTAGTCAGCAAAGCTTTTCTTTGTCTTTCAAAAGGAAAGAAAATTCTTCCAGAGTAAAGAAAAACTCAAAAAATACACCTGCAGTTGCCCTACAAATAATACTTAAAGATGTTATCTTGACAGAGAAAAGGAATAGCACCCACCAAAACCAAAAGCAAATGTGAAGATCTTCTCTGTGTATCTGACTTTCCAATAAACATCAATCAAAACATATGTACTCCCAATGAAACTGTTAAATTTATCTTGACAATAGGATGCTGGCGATAACAGACTTGTGACTGTTTATGAAGAACTGTACTATTATAGGGAAAATCAGTGTGTGTGGGTGGGGAGGGGATTTGGGAAGGATGTCAGGGAAACTCCAGAGTCTATGGAACTGTATCATAAAATAATAATAATGGGGCCCGGCAGTGTGGCCTAGCAGCTAAAGTCCTCACCTTGAACACACCAGAATCCCATATGAGTGCCAGTTCTAATCCCGGAGCCTCCACTTTCCATTCAGCTCCCTGCTTGTGGCCTGGGAAAGCAGTAGAGGATGGCCCAAAGCTTTGGGATCCTGCACCTGTGTGGGAGACCTGGAGGAATTTCCTGGCTCCTGGCTTCGGATGTGCACAGCAGCAGCCATTGCACTCACTTGGGGAGTGAATCATCGGACAGAAGATCTTCCTCTCTGTCTCTCCTCCTCTCTGTATATCTGACTTTGTAATAAAAATAAATAATAATGATAATGATAAAAAAAATTCAGCAAGCAAGTTAACAGATGAGCACTGTTACTTAACATTCTCTCCCTTTCAAATAAAATGGAATAAAAATTAAAACGAAATACAGGAGTTAGCCAATATCATGGAATCCATCGTGCTTCCTTCTTGCTCCTTTTCATTTCCTCTTCCTTTTTTGATATCCAAGTCCTTTAGGCATCAGTAAGTATAATCTGCTCATGTAGACTTCAACTCTTCTACATTCACCAACAATACGAGCTTTTTATCTTCTAACTTTAAATGAAACCCAATGATTCAGTCACTATGTATCCCTACCCAAGCAAAGGAATTGGGCATATGAACAAATACTTGCTAACCAAAAGTTAAGTTTACAATTAATATCCCAGGTGGGCATTTAGTGTGTCCAGCAATTTAGTGAAATTTGCCTGAAGATTCGCATTCCTACTCTCCAAGATGATAGTTTTATAACTTTCTGCCTACCATGTTACTTGCATTTTACCCCTATTCATGCTCACTCTTAAGATGGATGGGATGCTTCTGTTCATACCAATAGTCAATCCATTGGTATATCAACTTTTATCCCATCTCATGAATAAAACACCTTCACACATCAACTCGCTTCTTTCATCAGTATTTTGCCTTCAGAATACAAACACCTTACTTAGGAAAACAGGGACTGAAAGGTGACAAATTCAGAACCTGTGCTTTACGCTCGCCCCTCCCCCCAACCTACAGAAAGAAATGGGGCTTGATTTTGAAACATGCACTTTTTGACTTGAGAATTCCATTTCCAGGAGTGTAAATCACAGAAATTACATTAGTGCATAATCCCGATAAGCATGCTCCTTGCTACAGTAGTTGTAGAGGAGAAAAAGTTGAATATTTATAAAATTAAGTGAGAAAATAGTTTAACAGGGGGGAAAGGAAGAGAGCAGAGTACCCGTGGTACAACTGTCGAAACAAAAACTAAACAAAAGGGGAATGCATGTGTGAGAGGCAGTTGAGGCAAATGGTGGGAAGGTCAGATTACATAGGTTACTGCGCAGGGAAAAAGATGGTTCCTTTCTTAAAAGAATTCTCCTACAAATTACTTGATTTAAGCGATTAACATTTTAGAATGTCCTAATCATGTGCTAAAGAAAATATATATATATATACAATGTACATTTATTTGGATTTTCCCTATTACAAATGGAAACCTTCATCTTGTCTGAAGTTCTACTTTGCAAAGTTGCTGAAGCTTATCAGAAATACATCTCAGCCACTGCACGTGTCTGGAAAGTACTGTTTTCTAGAGAATATAGACAAGAAGTACTATAAGGATTTCTTTAAATATTCTGAATCTCAAGAACTCTCACTATTGCTATAGCTTTGCTAAGAATTGAGGGCCAATGTACCCTCTTTGACCACAGAAATATTTATGGACTACCATATTGTCCTTCACCTTTTTCTAGTTTTTTTTTCTTTTTTTTTAATCATAGTGTTTTATGTTTTTAGCATGAAAAGTCATGCACCTGTCATGCAGTCAGTTCTACTGCCAGAAACAAAACTGCTTATGAACACACACAAGTGCTTGCTGCAGAACACTGAAGGCACCGCTGTGAGAGGCACAGAAGGAGGGCCCTGCAAAGACAGGAAAAACCCTTCGCTTAAGGTTCCTGTCCCTGAAAGCTGACGTGCATCACACCCAAAGCTAGCTGATTTACTAACTTGCTCGTAGTCCTTAGAAACCACCTTGTGGGCTATGAATCTCAGTTTCTCACACTGGAGGACCCCCTTGCCTGCCTCAGCCAAACCTTTACATTGAAGTAACACAAACATAAATATGTACCTGATTTTTGGGAAACACTTTTGGAAAATGAAGCAGTTCATATGCTGCTGTTCTGATAATGAAAGGATCTAATATTCTGATTTGATAAGGTTTATAGATCAAGTTTAAGGCTGGTTCCTTCCAAAAGCCATTAGTGTCCTAAAAAAAAAAAAAGACACAAAACACAACACTGTAGGTGTTTTTTTTAAGGAAAAATCCTGAAGTTAATCTAAAGGCCAATCAGTGTTTCAAACTTACTATTTTGCTACCTGTCACCAGTGCCAGCAGCCACTTTAAGTCAAGTGGCTTAAAAACAGTGAGAATTGCAGTTGTATTGGGATCGTTGTGACTGGGATCTGAAAAAACAGATTCTGGATAAAAAAGTCGGAAGGTTGTTCTTCTCCCAACTTCTTCTTCATGCCCTAAAACAGGGCCATTATTCATTCTGTGGATAGTAAAACACACAAGGTTTATAGTCAAAGTGGTGTTTAAGTTCCCTTCACAATTCTCAGAGATTTCAGAAATAGACAAACTTCAGCCACAACACTACTAACTGAATGACCTCTTGCACCTACCGGTGAGAACGTAATTCCTTTTCATTAAAAAGCCACCTAGATCAAAGTCAGAAATGTTCATTTCTACATGAAAATTGTGGAACTAATGATAATTCCATGTTACCTCCAGGAAAAAAAGAAGGCTCCAAAAAAAACCCAGAAACAGAATAGAAGAGTTGAAAAAAAATATATTGGGGGACAACCACACAGACCTCTTGGATTTAGAGAAGAGCCCTAAAGTCCAGGGAGATAGTTATCTGTCCAAACCACAAGCAGCACACAGATGTGTACCTAAGTGACTGACACACAAGAAGAATCATGGTGAGGTTGATGGTCCCTCAAAATTGTTGTGCTCTGAAGTAAAGTAACCACACAAGCTTGCCTGCGTTACACATTCAAGCACAACTCAATGTATGTCTCTTGCAAGCATCAACTAAAGAACAACAAAGGATCTATTGTCGTCAAGGTTCGACCTGAGCTATGCAGGCACATACTGGAAAGGCATGCTACTAAAAGTGAATGCTTTGTTTCCAAAACAGTGTCCCCGGAGGAGGAGAAATACCGTTTTATCCTTTGACATCAACTACGTAATAAAGGTAGTCAGACTACTAAAATGGCATTCAAAATATTGCACATTCTTGGTGTTTTACCACCAAAGGCTTGCTGTGAATGTCAAGATAGTTTTGTAGATAAATTGCTACAGCTTCCTCAAAACGGATTAAAAAAAAAAAGAAGAAGGTTAGTCACTAGCCAATTTGTAATCCAGCAATGCCACTGAACACCTCATATCATCCTAATGGCTTTGCCGCAGCAAAATCACTTCCCCAAAAAGAGACTAAAAAAGCCACTCCTCACACACTTTCCCAGAAGATGGCCTTACTTTAACCTTTTACTGTGAAAGCAGAATTGGCAAAGCCCCTTATCCTGGGGACTCCTGAAAGCTGTAAACAAAATGGGTGGGGTGAGCTGCTTTCCATTTCAAATGCTGAACTCATCTGCTCTATACCCTATCACCTTGGTCCTTATCACACCAACCTCTTCCTCTACTTATTTCCATGAACTTGCCAACAAGTTCTAGCATCTCCTATCTTTGCAAAACAGATCCCTCTTGTTTCCGTAACCACTTCCAGCTACCACTTATCTCATTCATCAGCTCTCCTCTAGAGCAAAATTCCTCACAATAGTTGACTATGCTGGTTTCTCTATTTTTTCACGTCATTCCATCTTCAACTAGTCGCAGCTGGGTTCCTTGCCACATTATGCCTGTAAGTCTGTTTCATCACCAGTGTCACAGGGAGCTTCAGACTGCCAACTAGGTTATCACCTTTGTCCTTATCTTGGATGACCCCTCTCCAGCACTGGGTCACAGCTGATCCCTTCCCTCTGCTTTGAAACACTGGCTTTCCGCTTCTGTGGGCACCATCTCCTGATCTTCCTTCCACTTCACTGTTAAGTCCTCCTCACTTCTTCAGCTAAGCCTTCACTCAGCCTCTGGGTTCTGAGTGCCCCAGTTCTCAGTTATGGGCTTTTCTCTCTCTCTTAAGTCCTTCCCTGGGAACTTTCACCAAGTCTGTGGTTTAAATTCAGGACATAGGCTGCTCATGAGAGACTGCTAATCCAGCTTTCTACTTGACTTACCTGTTGTACATCTAATAAGCATCTCAAATCTAACACATTTATAGAGATTTTTTTTTGTTCTCTCTGCCTATATCCTTGCCTTGTCCAACTCAATAAATTATACCCACTCTTCAGCTAAATATCCTTAGCTGAAAAAAAAAATAAAAGAGCAGGAGCCATGATGGTTATTTCATTCTCATTATTCTTCACATCTAACAAAAATAACAACTCCTGATAATGCAACATGTGAAACATATTCAGAATCTATGCACTTAGTTCTCTCTCCCATGACAATTCGGTATCCACACACCACTCTTTCCTACTCAACAACAGCGACTCTAGTGGTCTCCTCTTTGCCACTCTTTTCCTTCTCATCCCATTGTCCGTGTTTCAACCAAAATATATTACACACATAACCAGAATGCTCTCCTGCTTAAAGACTTGCAACAGCTTCCTGCTACAATTAAGATAAACCCAAGCTCAAACTCCAGTTTAACCCTGGGTAGCCTGCTCCTTACCTACTTCTTCAACTTCTGAATTCATCACAACCCCTGGCCTCCTGCCCTCCAACCTCTCTAGATTTTTGCTTCTGCTTTTCGCAAACTCAGGACCATAGCCTCCTGAACACCTTCTGTAAGCATTCTCTCTGCCTGGTCTACTCTTCCCAAATCTCAATGTTACATAGGTTTGACCTAAATGGCTTCTCCAAGTGGTCATCCAAAGTATCCATTCAATTACTCTATCATATTTTTCAATTCCCCATATGGAATATATCTTTATGTTTTCCAGATATTAAAAGACTATTTTTTTTCCCTTTGTTAGATCATAGACTGTGCTTGGAGCAAGACTGCTACTTTTCTTATCTATTCCTATCTGTTCTGTGGTTAGAAGTGTGCTAGCATATAAAGGAAAGTTAATAAATATTTGCTAAATCAGTGATCTGAAATCTGGATCTAATTCTAGCCAACAAACAGAAGAAAAGTTTACATAGTTAAGTTCATAATGAATTCAACCCACTCCCCTCCTTTTCATAAAAGAGCTGTACAAAGGCAGGAAAGTATATTCTTAAGAAACAAGTCTAAACTATCAAACAGAAAATATATTTACCTTATTATTACATCATAGGAGTCGATTTTTTCTCCTAACGTCTTATTCTTCAAAATTCCTCCATTACCAACCACCACACACTTTTTACATGGCACACTGTTGAGCAAATAGACAAGCAAGAAATTGAGCAATCTTTCACAAAATGGGATGAATCCAAAGACTTGGTCCTAGTTTCAGAAACTCAATGCCAAATTTCACTGGTCACACAAGTACAGAAAACAGAACTTATTGTGACATAGAAATCTTGATATGTATTAGAAAAATGTGAACGCCAATAAATAGCAGATTGTAAAACATATTGTCATTGTCAGCAACTATTAACTTATCATTTCATATACATTTGAGTCACATAGCTATGCCCTGAGATAAGTCATCCTGGTGCTCCCAGTGCTCAAATCCGGAAGCTCAGAAAACTATCACATGTCATTTAAAAGTCAAACTCTAGAGAGATGAAATGAACCTTTCAATCTAGTCTATAAAAGTAGCCCTTCACCTCTCTATGTTGATACTAATAAAAGCATGTTTATATTACTCATGAGGGCACTTCAAAAAGTCTATAGAAAATACAATTTGCAGTGTATTTTCATGCAAAATATTTTTGAAATCCATGCATATCAGAGTTCCACTCATGATATACGTGTCCAATAGAAAATGTGCATAGAGCTAGAAACTTTTTCATTAAAATAAACTTTCCTATTGTAGATTGTGCTGCTGTAAATATAGGATTACAGACCCCCTAATCATATGCAGTTTTCATTTCCTTTGGATATATTCCTAGGAGTGGGATAGCTGGGCCATATGGCAGGTTTATTTGCAATTTTCCAAGCACTCTCCATACTGATTTCCATAGTGGTTGTACTAGCCTGCACTCCCACCAGCAGTGAAGGAGGAGGGTGCCTTTCTCCCCACATCCATGCCAGTAGGTGTTGTTAGTAGAGTTTTTTTTTTTAAGATTTATTTATTTTCTTTGGAAAGGCGGGTATGTGCAGAGAGGAGGATGAGAGAGAGAGAGGAAGATCTTTCATCTGATGGTTCACTCCCCAAGCAGCCGCAACGGCTGGAGCTGAGCCAATCCGAAGCCAGGAGCCAGGAGCTCTTCCGCGTCTCCCACGCGGGTGCAGGGTTCTAAGGCTTTGGGCCATCCTCGACTGCCTTCCCAGGCCACAAGCAGGGAGCTGGATGGGAAGGAGAGCCACCGGAATTAGAACCGGCACTTATATGGGATCCTGGGGTGTGCAAGTCGAAGACTTTAACCACTATGCTATCGCACCAGGCCCATTACTAGAGTTTTGAATGTAAGCCAACCTCTCTGGAGTTAGGTGGTACCCCAATTTTGTTTTCATTTGTCTCTCCCTGATGGCTAGGGAGCCTGAGCATTTTTTCATATGTCTGTTAGCCATTTGGATCTGTTCTTTTGAAAAATGTTCGTTCATTTGCTTTGCCCATTTTTTCAGTTTTTTTTTTTTTTAAATTTTCTGTCCCTGGGTTTCTGAAGCTCTTTGTAAATCCTGGATATTAGTGCCCTATCAGTTGTGTAGTGTGCAAAATTTTTCTCCTATTGATTGGCTGCTTTTTCACTTTGTCGATCATTTCCTTTGCTGTGCAGAAGCTTTTTAGTTTGATGTAGTCCTATTTGTTTATTTTGTCATTGCCTGCCTGTGCTTTTGGCATCTTTTCTAAGCACAATCAGCAACAGCAAAGACATGGAGAAAAAAAAAAAAAAGCAGATGCCCATCCAAAGAGGAGTCATTAAAAAAAATTGTGGTAATCTTACTCAGCCATTAAAAAGAATGAAATTATACCATTTGCAACTAGATGATTCTAACTAGAGACCATTATGCTCAGGGAAATAAGCCAATCCCCAAAACACAAATACCATATATTCTCTCTAATATAAAGAAACCATCATGCAGCTTGGAATGTATAGTGATGGAGTAATAGAGACTACCATGTCCTGGTGTGAAGACACAATGCAACATGCATCCCTACTCCCAAATCAAAGATGGACTCCCATATCTAGACCATGGGTTGTCTGACATTGTGCCAGCAGTGTCGGGGCACACTTAAATAACAGACTGATAGAATTATAACTCCTTATTAAGGCCTATACTATTGTAACAATATGGGTATAAGCAGGAGATGGGAATCCCAGACTCCACAGAATTGTACCATAAAATTCAAAATTAAAAATAAAAATTAAAGAAAAACAAACTTTCCTTTAATTCCATTTCTGCAAACTTTTTTGAAATCCCCTCATACATATTTTTGACAGTGTTTCAACATTGTTTTGAGGATTACAACTCTGGCTGTGTGTAGAGATGGACAATTTGAAATTGGTGGGAAAGTGTGACTTTCTGTATTCTGTTCATGTCCACTTGAATACCACATACTGGTTGTTGGCACTGAACCACTACAAAAATGAACTTCAACATATATTACTAAATAAGAACTTAAAGCTGGAGTACAAAGGGGAACTTCTTGTGGCTGGCTAGGATCTGCCTAAAACCATATCATTTTGCTCTCAGCAAACAAAGCTCTGGTCCGGCAGTCCACCAGCTTTTAGCATTAAGAGATCAGGCCCAGAGAAAGAACAAACATAGCCCATATGCCTTCCCCTCTAGGGAACAAAACTGTAAAAGAGTTTGTTGAAGTTTTCATTTTTGCAACACAAAAGTCCAAAGAAAAACAGTGCTCCCTAAGAAACACAAAATAAGCAAATTAGGAAGTAGTGAAATCTTACAAAGACTGTACAGTGCTTGCTTTGGCAGCACATATACTAAAATTGGAATGATAAACAATTTAACAAAACAAATACTGTACAGCCTAGGGCCCGGTGCAGTGGCACTCTGGTTAAGGTCCTCGCCTTACACGCCTGGGATCCCATATGGGCGCCTGTTCTAATCCCGGCAGCCCCTGCTTCCCATCCAGCTCCCTGCCTGTGGCCTGGGAAAGCAGTCGAGGACGGCCCAAAGCTTTGGGACCCTGCACACACGTGGGAGACCCGAAAGAGGCTCCTGGCTTTGGATCGGCATAGCATCGGCCGTTGCGCTCACTTGGGGAGTGTATCAACGGACGGAAGATCTTCCTCTCTGTCTCTCCTCTCTGTATATCCGCCTTTCCAATATAAATAAAATAAATCTTAACAAAAAAACTGTACAGCCTTAAATCCTACAGAATTCAGGAACTTTTTAGAAGAGTGAAGCATTGGCTTTGTCAGATTAAGAAAAGACAACATACACATTTCCGCACTGGTACGTCATCCAACTTAATGGATAATCTGTATAGCCCATCTCTAAGATGCAATACAAATTCAAAAATATTTTAAACAGATTTAAAGCAGAGCTCTTTGTTCTCAAATATTAGAGTGAGTTTCACATAAATTAATTTCTATTTCATCAGACAAGGACAATTATCACTAGTTTCCCAGGAGGTAAAGGAACTGGGGGATGTGCTAGAAGCCTCCCATCATGGACTTGTCACAAGTCACAGTGTGTTCCATATGTCTCTAACGAAGAAAATATTTCTATCAATTGGACCTCAACTCCAATTCCAGGACACCAATTCAGATTCTCCTCTCAGGCCATGGTTGAGACGAGAATATGGTTAAACATTCAAAAGCCCTCTTCTCAGGGTGTGATGGCCTTTATCCTCGCCAGATCCCTCCCAGCATGGCTCTCCAACAGGGTGTTCATTCCCACACCCTCAGCTCACAAGACCTTTCCCTAAGCTCCAGGTCAGCGTGTCATGTAAAAGAGAGGCTGAACCTCCTAAGCTGGCTCCATCTCCAGGCAGGGAATACTGAGCAAAGGTGGAGATTGGGGAGGTGGCGATTGGGAGTAGACAAGGATTGGAATAATAACTGTTCCTCTGAGATAACCTGTATGGAGTGAGGAAGAAATATCTAGAATGGTGGTAACAGACTGCCCACAATGGAGGCCAGCCTACTCCCTGGCAAGGGGAATAAGCCCTCTGCCCAGAGTCCAGGTAACCGAGAGGCCGAAGGATCCATCTCACCCAGGAGTCCTTGATCGGACACCAGCATCAACTCGAACTACTCCACGCACACAGGGCCAAAGAGTACATGTACAGCCACCAGGATATGCCCAGAGTTATTAATCCAGAATCTCAATGAAATACCTGTCCCCAAAGCAGAATACATGGCATATAATGAGGATCATATCTAATGCTACAAGCCATTTTGAGCATGGCCCGAAGATGACTAATTGCAATCATATTTATAACTAATACCTGTGGTTCTACCATGGATCTGGAAAATATGAAATGGTATAAATAAACTATTGAAAACACATTCCTCACAACTCACTGTTTTCTTCATTTCTCCCCACGAGATTCCCACAGGCTGTGAAGGAACAGATTTGGCTTAATTCAGTTGGCCTGGGCTCCTGTATGCCGCTGCCTCCTTACAGTGTAAAATAGTGACTATCAGTGGCCTTTCAATGACTGTTAAACTTCATCATATTTAATTAACACAGTTTTCATGCACTGAACTCTGAGTCCCTAGTGTCACATCTCTGTGTCAACTTTAATCACTTCCTGATTCACAGGTATTCTGAAATGGGTTTGGTTGTTCCACTAAGTGTGCGGAGGTCATTCTCTCTGTGTCTGAAGAAGCATGTGCCTGTTAACTCCTCCCCTATCTTGGCAACAGGTAAGTCTATGCACGTGTCCCCAAACCTGCTCACCCAGAAAAAAGAATAATTCCCGAGTGCTGAACCTGTTAATGGAAAACCTGCCAGCTGCTAAAATAGTTCTGGTAAGAGATTATACTTTCCCCAGGTGAAAGGTGAAAGGTAAAAGGCACGCTTGTTATAGTTAGAAAAAGTCAGAAGGGTCCCTGCTCTCCAGAGGGAAATGACAACACAATCAGTGCAGAAGGTCAACCAGAGCCATTCCTTTCAGAGGATCTCCTCTTCTGAGCTCTTTTTGGTATTCACTTATTCTTTGCCCAGCAACAAACATGTTAAAACATAGGGTCCCCTTGAGTGTGACAGTGCATAGTACACCCTACCAACCATGTTTCTCACACTCATTACACCATACACCTTGTTAGACAGACTCCTGGCCTTTGTAAGCCT